GAAGCGCAAGGCTTTCCCTTCCAATGAAGCCACCTTGCCCCCTGCTAGAACCTTTGTCCTAAACTTGTTAATTATTTCCTTAGCCTTATCTGGATTTAACTCTTCCTGCCTCTCCGCTTGCTTCTTGGCTCTCTGCCATTGTGCCCTGATTTCTGTTTCCAGCAGGTTGTACATTATTCCTCTGGCTTCCATTATAGTCATATGGTTCTCTCCTACTACCCTTTGACATCTTCTTTTCCACACTCTCCACAGCGCGTAGAGCCTCAGTAGCCAGAAAATGTATTTTTGACAGGAATTCCAGTCTCTGGGCGCTTCCATGTTGATTAGGAGTCTGTCTCTGATCGGAGGGAAGGGAACTTCCGTGACCCGGGACCATAGTACGCGAGCTAACACCCATACCCTCTCTGCCTCCGGGCATGAGATTAAGCAGTGGACCATCGTTTCCAGAGCCCCACCCGTACATAGGGTACAGTTTCGTTCCTCCTCTTCCCTAGCTTGCCTGCTTCTTCTTTCATACAACCAAGAGTTGACTGGGAGGGCCACATGGAGGATGAGCCACTTCACCCCTGCGCAAGGATGAGACACATAAATCGAGAAATGTTCCAAATTTGTGAAAAAAAAAAAAAAAAAAAACGTTTTATTTTGGATTTTTTTTGGTGCCTTCTGTTCATGCCTAATGACCTTTTCAGGGCATTTGAAAAATTGTCGAAGATGGCGAAGTCAAAAACGGGGAGTGTGTGAGTCTGTGTTTCACACACACACACACAGGGAGGGAGAGAGAGAGAGAGAGAGAGAGAGAGAGAGAGAGAGAGAGAGAGAGAGAGAGAGAGAGAGAGAGAGAGAGAGAGAGAGAGAGATTCTGACATTTGAGACTTGGTAACATTGGGCGCTTGCCCAGACCAGACCAGTATCTGGACAGTTTTTCGGAGACTATTTTTGGAGACCATATGTGGGTGATGCTACTGAATTGATGACATCTCCATATCTGTTCCCCTTCATCTGTGCTCCCTCTTCTTCGTCTGTGTATGACCTTGGCCACGGCACTCTGCTTCCGTGTGATGTCTGTCGGAGTCGAGTCGAGTCAGATCTCTGTGTATCAGTCTTCCGCGTTGTATTTTCCTCATTCTCCTTGGTCAGTTCTTGCGTGCTGCGCCATGCTGATCTGATTGTCTTCAGGCATGGGACGACTACTCTTTACATGTATTCAGTGGCATGTGTAGTGTGAGCTCGAAGGCAGTGAAGATACTTGATATTCACATGCGGCAGGAGCAAGGCCCCTTCTCTGTTCGTCTCTCTCTCTCTCTCTCTCTCTCTCTCTCTCTCTCTCTCTCTCTCT